ATTTATTAGTAGAAATAAAATTATTAGAAATAAAATAATCGGTCTATAGAAATTTACAGCTAATACCCGCATTTAATCTCGCTTTTATATTGATGTGTAGTATCTCAGACGTCTGCTGGCTGAAGATAACCGTATTATGCAAATCGGCAACAAAACTTAATAAACGAAAACGTATTGTGTCAGTTTTTCTTGTCATTTCATTAATTCCATTCGCGTAGACGGCAAAATGCTTCAAGGCGAACGAAAGCTTTTTCTTGGGCAAAACATCGGGCGAGCTTATGTTATTAAAAGCTCAAATGGGGATGGAAACTCGGTAGAAAAAAATTCTGTGTGATACGTGGTAATAAAAATATCTCAAATGTTATTAGCTGTAATTCTATTGATTTTTGGTAATTAAAATGCAGATTTTTCTTGGTACAAATGATACAAATATTGATGGTTCTTGGTACAATATTGATGCGCGTATATATGCTATGTGTATGTATTTTGCCTCTCTGATTAAATCATTTATATCCGCGATTTTTCGCAGTCCACAGACCATATCTAGATTAACACAGGGCCATATGCCTACATAATAAAAGCATTAATATAAAATGGTTTTCACGTGCAGTTTTCGGCTCGTCTCGAGGGCGATCTCGCCTCGCAAGCTAATGCGTTTCATAATGCACAAAAATCTAACCACGCCCGAGACCGAACATTTTTCTGCTCTGGGAACGAGTTTTCACATATAACACACAAGTACGTGATTTATCACTAGGAGAAGGCAAAGGCACAATCGTCTCAATGATACATGGGATATATTGTAGTAACCGCAGGCAATACTGTAGCATGCGAATAAGGAAATGAGCTGGACATTTATATGCAGTTATTTTTGGTTTCATAATTGTTTTTGATTTTCCCGTGGCTTAGTGGTTAGAACATTGGATGTTCAACTAGTCCACATGTTAGTGACGCTTTTGCAATTTAATGTTAAATGCTTCAATTAAATACCAGATGAATTGGCATGTGGGTTAGAATAACGTGAAAAATTGCATTTTAATATTTTTAATTTGTCAAGATTGTGACAAAAATTTTAAATTGGTTCATACTGTAGTTTTCGAGATATGCGAGATTGTACTCTGACCTAAAACTAGCCTAGTTTTAGGTTGAGAGCACTTTTGGTCTAGGGCCTATGCCCTACATGCTTCGTGGTTCTTCTCAAAAGAGGATTATGCGAATTTAATGAATCTTGGCACACATAGTTATTATGCTTTGCTAATATTGTGACAAAAATTTTAAAATGGTTTATACACTAGTTTCCGAGATATGCGAGATTGCACTCTGACCTAAAACTAGCCTAGTTTCAGGTTGAGACTTTGAGAGCACTTTTGGCCTAACTCCTCCGTATTTATTCTCAAAAGGGGATTATATAAATTTGATGAAACTTGGCACTCTTTGTTATTATACTTTACTAACATTGTGGCCAAATGTTTAAATTGGTGCGTACGCTAGTTTCCGAAATAGGCGCGATTGCACTCTGACCTGAAACTAGCCTAGTTTTAGGTTGAGAGCACTTTTGGCCTAGATGCACCATGATATCTTTTCAAAAGGGGATCATGCGAATTTAATGAAACTTGGCACACATTGTTATTATACTTTACGAAGATTGTATCATAACAAATATTGTACAGGGTTAAAATCTTTTGATTTGGAATATTTTAATTAAAGTCCTATGACTATTTTCACGATTTTTGTCAGAAAAATTTTGATACTCATATTAGTATAGTAGTAATCTTAAGACTTTAGAAAAATGCTATCAGAAATTTAGAATATTTCCATCGCACTTTAAATAATTTTCGAGATAAACGCATTTGAAATATCCAAAAAATAGCGAATGGTTTTTAGGTCAAAATGTTCAGAAATCTTCAAAACGTCGAGAAATGCAAAAATTTTCATTTTGATTTTCGACTGATTACTATAACACCCTACGGGAAGTTAAAAATCTGCTCAAAAATGATAAAAATTTTTAAAAAAATTTAAAATAAAATCAAATCAAATATTTTAATTTTGTACTTTTTAGAATCTCAAATTATCAATAAGAAGCAAGAAGTAAAAAGAAATCTTTCTACGAGTACAAAAAGTTCCTAATGATCAAGGAGAGGTGAATCTGAAAGTAAGTTCTTGCAGCAAATAAACCCTAGGTCAAAGTTGGAATGTTTTTATCAAAAGAAATATATTCTGAATAGGACTTATAAATCTTGGAGACAGCTGCTATTATCATGACAAAGAACTGTCGGAAAAGTCAACATTCTGCCTTTCTTTATATATTACAAAGGCACTCAACATTATGCGATATTAGGTAAGTTACAATAGATTTTCTGATTATTTTTGAGCTTTTTAATAATATCATTTTATGTTTCTATTATCATTTCTCAGCCCTCGGTCTATTATATCGACACAATCAGATGTACAACTAGATCAAACATGTGTGATCCGAATGTTTGTTCAAACTATTGCATTTATGATGATAAATCAACTCCATTGCCGAATGTTATTTGAATACAAAATTACGCCCGTTCAATTATTATACAACAAAAGCAATTTCATGGCGCCGAACGCGCTTTATTTGCTCACATCGACGTGTATTCGCTTTTGTAATAATTGATACATTGGATAAACAATAGTGGGATATATTAATGTTACTCGATTGGATTCGATTGAATTTTCGAGCAAATCCTATTTGATACACTCAGGTGGCATCTGTTTACAAATCATTTGGTTCTCGTCTTTTGTCGTAGATGATAATAGGATATAGTTGGTGAATAAATCAATTTTATTCTTATTATTTTGCCTTGAGACAAGTTGCTTGAACTTTCCGTTACTTGCACATGGCTAACTTAATCAATAAGAATTAATATTCAGCAAATTAGGTAAAAAATCCAATTCTTCGACATAGATTCTGATTAGAATCCATTACTAAAATAATGATGAATCTTTATAATTCAACCATTAATCATTGGCTGACAATATTTAACTTCCCGTAGGGTAAGTTATGGTAATCGCAAAAAAATCGAAAATGAAAAATTTTATATATATTTACGTTTCAGAGATTTCTGAACATTTTGGCATACCATAGAAAAAATGGATGTATGTGTGTGTGTGTGCGGATACAAATTTTCGTCGACGATTTTGCGAACACGTATCAACCCATTTTAATAATTAAAAAAACATTTTTTCTACTGATAAAGAGACGATGATTAGTTTTTTTTGCAATGGCAGGTCTAGCCGTTTCGGAGATATGGGGCAAAAGTGTCAAAAACGATAATTCAGTTTTTGAGAGAACGGAGCGTCCGATTTAAATAATTTAAAAAACATTTTACTTGTATTGACGAAGTGAACTACTGTTTAAATTTTTGCAAGGGT